TGAGCGAAGATGCATAATTTGATGAACGTGCCGAATATATTTTTTCAACCACATCTAGGTACCTTCTGCTTTTCTGAAAAGAAGAGGTCGTTCATAAAATACGTCATTCAGAATTTCAATTTGAAACTCTCCCTCCCCCTTCGTCGCACTTTCAGCGACCTCCCTAATAAATATTACGTCACAAAACCTACTTCACACCCTCCCCCTATAAACGATTTTTTGTTATTAAAAATAGCAATAAGAATGAGTTTCTATCGTAATGAAAAATTTGCCAAAAAACTACCAAGTTATACGAAATTAAATTAAAATAAAAATTTATGAACGGCAAACGTCGCCACGCTAACCAATACTCCCTCCCCCTTATTTGTGAAGGTATTTTATGAACGACCCCTACTTAGGACTGATGTTATTAGTTTATTATTTATATAAAAATATACCACGTCATATTTTTTAAAAAGGTGATGCCGCTCATAGATGATTGCATGTAATAAAATCCCTATTTTCGGTATATATTATCGAATACATTTAATTTGACTTAAAAAAAGTTTTAAACTTAACAATGCAACTAATATAGTGGAGTAAGCTTAGTTAAAAAAGAAGCATTGTTTAGGAAGAATTTGTATCGGCATAAAAATTCATAAAAAAAAATTTAAATATGTGTTCTAAACAGGTTAAAATTGAAAGTCTATCGGTTGGTGTTGTACGGTAAATCTCAATTTGTTTATTAAAAACAAAAAATCGCAAAATTAGTTGTTAATTTGGTTAAGGAAAAATCATTAATTATCAGGTACTAGGAGTTTTTGGTTATGCTGATTATGAATTTGATATAAGTTTTGCAAAATTCAAAATGGCGGACACAAAATGGCCGACCAAAAGTTTGAATAAAAAATTATAATTTTGGTTCGAATTTAGTCGTTGTTATCATATATTGTCGTATTCTCTCGAATTTTCCAATGATTTACAATTTTTTTTTTAAATATTGATTTAATTAAATATTTATGTTAATTTCACACTACTTAAAAACGCCAGACTAGTCACCATATATGCATGTGTAATACTTAGTAAAATTATCAGTTGTGGTAAACTTAATTCTTTATTCAGAACCTCGCAATTGTCAAAAAATCGTGTTGTTATCAATTTTCGCGTTTCCTCTCTAACTGATTTTACATTAAAAAAATTAAACCAAGAATTATTTTTCAAGTTTAATACTTTAGTTAACATCTCTATGCATTCAAATAAAAATAATTTTGTTTTTTGTTTTTTTAATTATTAAACTTCATAGTGTAAAATTTTCGATTTTTTTCTTCTAAAACGTATAGTTCGACTTATACGTAAAAAAATATTATAAAAACGCGCATGTGTCATAAAATAAAATATTGGGAGCTTTAGAACACATCTTCACCTTCAAATTAATCACTTATAAAGTGGCGATATAAGGATATTAGCCTTTGATATAGACGATTGAAATTTGGTGTCCACAACGGAATACGTTTGTTTTCGGAAAGGTACCAAGTCTAAATATCCTATTCAAGTATAACTTTTTTTATTTTTAATAAATTATTCATTCTATATAATACTTAAAAAAATCTTAAAAAATATGTAATACTTCCAGGAAATGATACTCTTTCATCACCAATTGATTTCACATAATTTGCTTTTTGCAATCAAAAGTTATAGCCATTTACAGAGCGCGCGCTCCGGCAAGCCAATTTCAACGTCAGCAGGCGGTCGGTACAGCGTCATTTGGGACCTTCCTTAATAAATTTCTTCACTTCAATTTAATACCCAAAATACATATCATATATGTTTCTTTCGTAAAATTGCCCATTCGTTGGAATGGCATTTTAAAAAAAAATTAAAAAAGTTATTGAATAAAATAATTAATTTTTTATTAATTAATAGTTGGTCTGTGTTCTGTCGGAGCTGTCTGCGACGTGCTGATGAGATCCAAAAAGATCGAAATCGCGATCCGCGTCTGGCAGTTTCGACAGAATACAGACCACTTCGAATTATTTTATTCGATTAAGCTAACGTGCCTATCACGTTGAGGTTGGCTACGCCGGGATTCGTTTTCAGCAAGTAGATATCCACACAAGTGGACCTTGTTGGAGCATACGTAATCCTAAAATGTAGCATCGTGCTACAGATGGCGTTTACTGCGCCATTTGTAGTATTTTCTAAAACGCACTGTTAAGACAGCAGGTAAAAGTTGGTCTGTGTTCTGTCGGAGCTGCCTGCGACGCGCTGATGAGATCCAAAAAGATCGAAATCGCGATCCGCGTCTGGCAGTTTCGACAGAATACAGACCACTTCGAATTATTTTATTCGATTAAGCTAACGTGCCTATCACGTTGAGGTTGGCTACGCCGGGATTCGTTTTCAGCAAGTAGATATCCACACAAGTGGACCTTGTTGGAGCATACGTAATCCTAAAATGTAGCATCGTGCTACAGATGGCGTTTACTGCGCCATTTGTAGTATTTTCTAAAACGCACTGTTAAGACAGCAGGTAAAAGTTGGTCTGTGTTCTGTCGGAGCTGCCTGCGACGCGCTGATGAGATCCAAAAAGATCGAAATCGCGATCCGCGTCTGGCAGTTTCGACAGAATACAGACCACTTCGAATTATTTTATTCGATTAAGCTAACGTGCCTATCACGTTGAGGTTGGCTACGCCGGGATTCGTTTTCAGCAAGTAGATATCCACACAAGTGGACCTTGTTGGAGCATACGTAATCCTAAAATGTAGCATCGTGCTACAGATGGCGTTTACTGCGCCATTTGTAGTATTTTCTAAAACGCACTGTTAAGACAGCAGGTAAAAGTTGGTCTGTGTTCTGTCGGAGCTGCCTGCGACGCGCTGATGAGATCCAAAAAGATCGAAATCGCGATCCACGTCTGGCAGTTTCGACAGAATACAGACCACTTCGAATTACTTTATTCGATTATGGTAACGTGCCTATCACGTTAGGTTAGCTACGCCGGGATTCGTTTCAGCAAGTAGATATATATCCATATATTTAAATGGACCTTGTTGGAGCATACGTAATTCTAAAATGTAGCATCGTACTACAGATGGCGTTTATTGCGCCATTTGTGGTATTTTCCAAAACGCGCTGTTAAGACAGCAGGTAAATAGCTGATCTGTGTTCTGTCGGAGCTGTCTGAGACCCGCTGATGAGATCCATAAAGATCGAAATCGCGATCCGCGTCTGCCAGTTTCGACAGAATACAGACCACTTGGAATTATTTTATTCGATTATGGTAACGTGCCTATCACGTTAGGTTAGCTACGCCGGGATTCGTTTCAGCAAGTATATATCCATACAGATGGCGTTTACCGGCCATTTGTGGTATTTTCTAAAAAGTTATTCACAAAAAACCGTATTTTTTCACTTAAATTGTTAAAAAAAAATAAGACGCGGACACTTTTTTTCAGTAGATTTTTCACTACATTATTCTAGCATACTTGAAAAATGTTGTTTACCACAGTCTACCTGGTTACAAATTTTTCCAAAGTGAAAATCTTCGCTCACTCCACTAATAGAGGGGTTAAATTTACGTTCCTTCACTTCTTTCATTTTAGAACACCAATATAGAAGATAGGTATGCACATCGTTTAATTAATTAATCTGTTACTTTTTGTATTGACGTTTTTTTACATCCACTTTATAAAAAATATACAGAGACATCCGCACAACATAAAACACATGTTAACGACTTGTTTTTGATGCGGCTTTATTAAGCACCGCATTTTGAATCAACAAGTTGAAATATTGTATCCTCGTGTCGAGCGTATTTTAAACCCTCTCGAAAGCTCTTTTCACTAATGAAAACGTTGCGCTACTTTCTGTAGTAACTTTTAATAAGGTAAACCAAATAAAATTGTTAGTTAAAAACCGGAATTCTGTGCGTTTCTAACAAACTACCTATACATTCACAAGTATAATACTCCAACAATGATACATTAATTAACTAATTAAACATATACTTAATTTCACACAAACACGAAATAGGTATGACATCTATAAACATTATAATGAATGGAATAAACACTGTATCCCATAACTAAAACTTGAAATATTGGTAAAGCTTTCTCGGCCAGTTGGCGAATTGATGCTGCCCTGATTCGAGTCAAAAGCCGTCGTCAGTTCGATTTGCTTCCTAACATTTCGCTAGCACGACTTGCGAGCTTCTTCAGAGTTGTGCACTCATGCCGGCGAAACGTTAGGAAGCTTCAACTGACGACGGGCTAGAATCGAATTAGGATTGCATCAATAAATCTAGAAAGTTATATTTTTTAGGTAACATGAATAAATATGGATAGACGAAATATGAAATGACTAAATAAATTGTACGGGTAATTATACCGGAGCAATAGTATTTAAAATTAGCTTGTTCTTATAAACTGAAAATCTTAACTGATAAAGATAAATAATAAAAATAAAATAAAATCTCTCTTAATACCCATATAGATATTAAAGGTATCTCCCTTCCTGCAGTTTCTATCAACTAAGATTTATTTATATGAGCTCGCGATTATCCAAATTGCCATTCGCATTCAAATTATTAAAAAATGTGACATTTTTAGTTGATTTTAGGAAGTTTAATTTAACTTTCAACTTTGTACAACACATTATTTTCCTCGCAAGTATAATATAATTATCCAGCTTTTGATATAGGTTTTAAATAAATTATTAACCAAATGTAGCATATCAGTAATAAAACCCACTTTCTTTGGGTCTGTAAGTTGAATTTTAATGTCAACTAGGTTCCGGTCAGGTTTTAGTCCACAGACAGGTCAAATGGTCGGGAGTTTGCATTCTTTCTCATCATGCATTTCCGTTGGTCTGTTATTACGTTCTGGCTAAATCGCCAACGAAAGCACAGCACGCTGGCGACTGCTGATTGCTTGCGACCGGCGGCACGGCAGCAACGTGTTGGCGACAGATCGCCGACGACGACGACGCCAACGACGAGGGACGGTCATCCTCCGTTAATTTCGCGACCGGTGGCTTCGCGTTCAGGAAATTTCGGCTGCGTGAACGCGTCTTCGCGCAAGTGTGTGCCACCCAGCCCTGTGGCCAGGGGGTGGGAGGGTGTCACGTCAAGCCCGTCACGCGGGACCGCGAAACTCCCTGCTTGCCCTGCTCAGCAGTTCGCGCCCGTCCACGGTCGTGCTATGTATTGATCGGCTGGACAAAGAAAGTGACCATCACATACACTGACACAGGCACATCCGCAGAAGACAACGCGGAGTTATCGTTGTGAACGTAAAGGTGAAAATAATAGCAAAGGACGTGAGAGCGCCCTTGTTAGCAGCGACAGCCAACAATCACAACTGTTTCAAAACGCCGATTCATAACTCCGCAAAAAGAGCGCGCGCCTGCGTAAAAAAGTTGTTACTACCGACGTGCAGCGTCTCGACGTTACGTGTTGCATTCGTCAACGAAAGCGTTTCATGTCGCATGTTCCTACTGTAAATTATATCGGTTTTTCTTCCTTTGGAGTACGCGCAAATTGAAATAGGACCACGTGCATTTTATGAAGGATTCTTGTGCTGTTTCGTCCAATTCAAGTAGGTGTCCGTGTTTGTGAAAACTGCATTCGTTCGACAAAAGAAATTACGAAGTGACATTTAACGTGCTATCAATTGTTTTGAATATGTAATTCATCAACAAAAGCTCTCTGTTCAATATCAAAAACGTCTTATCTAGTATAATATGAACCGAATGAAAAAGTGAAAAAGTGTGTAAAGACAAAATTTCATTTTGTTGAAAAGGTTCCTTCTACTCGCTTCAATACTATTACGTTTCTCCTTTCTTGTGTTTTGGGAAATTAAGTTGGAGTGAAGATGTCTACGAAAACGACGGGTAAGCGTCCTCTACGTACCCTTAGCGCCCACGAGAAATTAGACGCGATCCGCCGCGTACACGATGGAGAGAGCAAGGCTTCGGTGGCTCGGGACATCGGCGTGCCAGAGTCAACCCTCAGAGGATGGTGCAAAAACGAAGATAAAATATCTTACCTGTCTCGACAGTCAACTCCCGAAAACGACGAAACTAGTCCCTTAAGTGAGCCCAAAGAAAAAAGGTCGAAAGCAGACGATCAGCCATATAATTTAAGCGTAAAAGTTTCCACAAAGATTAATTCTTCGTTTTCATCGAACGGTTCTACGAAGAATACCACGACCGTTTCAGATAGTATTGTCAATGCTAAGCCGTTTAATTTAAGTCAAAAGGACGGCCTTAAAACCACAACTCAAATGAGCGAAAGGGAGCGAAACAGAGCTGAATTAGCGCGCCTGAGTGTAGAATTAGGACTAAACAGACCTGAAATGTTTTTAAATATGAACGGTACCAGCAGCTTAACAGAATTAACAGCCGGTATGAGTTTACTGGCTCAGTGGAATAGTCTGCTGCAAAAAAATCAAACAGGAAAGATAACCGCAGCTGCTGATAGCAGTAACAGTGTGGTTTCTTCAACTGATATCTTGGCAGCTTCAACTCCTGTAAAAATTCAGCAAAAGTCGAGCAAATTACCAAAAATTGACAAAACACCTTCTTCTGTCGACGAGTCCGTATGGTATTGGCTTAAGAATAGCCCAAGTTTATTGGGTATCACACCTACTTCTGACGTAAATTCTACTGCTAGTACTGGATCAGTTGGTATTAATACTTCTACCACTTATTCGACCTCAACCCCAATGAGTTTTGCCGCTACCCCCACACCTTTGCCGGCATCTATGCCACCAACGTTTGAAACTACCGATCATCACAGTTCATGGTTTTGGAAATGGTATAAACAGTTTGCAAGTGTTTATTCACAGACGGCAGCAAATCAAATTCCCGATAAGCCAATTCTTTATCAGCAATTGACCAAAGATAAAGATGGAAGCAATTCTGAAAATTTACATTTATCAGACGAGAAACCAATGAAAAATAATACAAAAGTAAGAGCGGTTTTGGATAGTCTTTTATTGAATAATAACAATGTAGCACTTCGTAAACAAGAATCAGTGTCGGACGAGCCTCAGACTCCAATTGAAGCTTTGGAACATGGAGAAAAATTTCTAAAATGGTTAGAAAACTGTGGCGATCCATCGGTTACAGCAATGCAAATTATGCAGTTCCGTTACTTAATTAATAACATCAAAAATAACGTCGAAAAGAGAAACGGTGACACTCTGCACAAAAACAAAGTTCGCAGAAAGTAGATGCTCTTAATTGAATGAATGTTAAATTTTTACTTGCACCAAATTACTGATTTTTGTACAAAGATATTAGATTCTAGATTTGACATTAGACTCATAAGATTAAAGTCATTCGTAATGTACCTTTTAAGACGTGATATATTTTAGTTGTAAATGTATAAACTTTAATTACAGTACAAATTTCGACGTTGACGATTTTCTGACTTACTTTTTTTTTTTAGTATCTACCTATAGAAAGTAAATAAGTACTGATTTAATGTGCCAATGTTATTGTTAGCTCAATTGCCATTTATAATTTATGTAAACACTTGTACATAACTAGTGTCTACCAAGAAGATTCCTATATATTGATCTCTTTAATTTTTGCCAAAGGTTTTGCCTTTTGTGATTCTAAAACACATTTACGTTTTCGTAACATGTTGCTTAATTGAAATGGCGAGAATAAAAAATACTTTTTTTAATTTTATATTTGGTTGACATTTTTTGTCGTGTAAATATTGTTTAAAATTAATGGATATTTTTGTACGAATATTCAACCCTACTAAATAAATTGTTTGTGAACATTTAACACCGTATTTTATTGCAAAATATTATGCTAAAACCTTTCATGTGTATTTTACTCAGACTAAATATCCTTTTGTTGTCATTTTCACATTTTAGATTAAAAATACTCAAGAAGAAAATATTACTTAACGTTTTTTGGATTTCGTTTTTATAATACCTAATTTTATAAAGGTGACACATTAGATAAATACAAAGGCAAAGATATATAAATTATATGTATTAAATTTAATATTCATTCAGACACAGTGTTTAATTGAGTCTTTATACAATATATTAATACCGTAAAAATATTATTTTACACACTAATAAACTCATTGTAGGTAATTATACAGTAATTAACGTAAAATGAACAAAATCCAAAACGAAAATTTCACTGTGAAAAATTAAGGATGTTAGAAATGTGTTTGTAGATGGAGATGTTATTGTTAAAAAAAGAAAGTAGATAGGTACATATAAACTTACAACATGTATATAGGAAGCATCTTTTTATCTACAATATTTTGTATAAATGATAAACAAGTTTATATTCGGAGTTATTAATGTAGGTATAACTCGAAAAATGCATTTAGAGGTAACAATTTTTGATACGACATAAAGTTTCAATGATAAATATCACTTAGGTCTTTAGGCTTTACGTTAAATAAAGTAGATAGGTATATTTGAAACTTTTTTTTTATTTCATACGGTAGCTCCGATCAATTATTAATTTACAGACGTTTTGTTCTTGTTACTAACAACCTGGTTGGACATTATAAAGTGATACAACAAGATTTCTTTCCCATATTTTATTTCAAAATACAATTAATAAGACAAACACAGCACCCTTTTTAAACTGTAGTAATTATTTTTCTTCCTCGATTAATCCATTCAAAAAAATAGAAATGTCAAAAAGATAAAATTGGTTAGTAGTATATTGAAAAAAAAAATAGAATTCAAGTGTCTAGATATGGACATTTTGGGCAGTACTATTTTTTTGACCCTTATCAAGACTTTTTCGTACTTCATAAACAAAAAATTAAATATTAACTTAAAATTTAACGTTATACAAAAGTGTTATATATATATATCATAATTTCATGACAAACCTTACTATGACCTGCTATCATGCATATGGAATTCAACGTCTTTATGAATTTCTTTCCCTAGAGCAGGGGTCGACAAGTAATTTTAGGTGGGGTCCAAATGTGTTGGAAAATTCGAGGTCCAGAAAAAAGCATATTCTTTCCTGCAAGAAAAAGATAAAGGTAGCGCTTATAGCTTAAACACACTTTGTTATCTACAGCAAACTATTTTTTTCATTAATTTATTTGAGTAATTTAGTTTCAATACATTCTTGACGGTCCAGTTTTTAACATTCCGTGGTCCGCCAGTTGCGAACCGTTAGCCTAACCCTAGAGGATTTAATAAGAAATCCATAAACAAAAAAACAATGCAAAAACTAAAACGTCGAAAAGAAACTGTTGAACTTGAAACAAATTAAAGACGGAAATATTTAGAGAAGGGAAAGAAAAAACATTCTGTTTGAAAAAAAAAGTCCTGTTGAGTTGATTATTGGGTAGCTACTGGCAGTCAAACTGTCTCAGTTATGTAAGTTCGGTTTACATAAAGAGTAGCTTCGGTAAAACCGAAACGTCGACATCTGGAGATCTAAATTATAAATTATTCTTTTTCAATATACTATTTACCAATTTCATCTTTGGCATTTTTATTTTCGGAAGAAAAATAACTACTACAATTTATATAGTTCATTTATATAATTAAATATCTGAATAGTTGGTGAAACGGAAATAATAAAGTAATTAAATAAAGGCAGTTGACAAATCAGAACTATTTATCTCCTTTTCGTTCAATCAAATAAATTTCTTTTCTTCTTCATTCGACATTTTTTAAAATATTTTAATATACCACATAGTGATGACAATTTTTCATTAGAATTGAAATATCGTAAAATTGTATTTTGGTAGTTTTACTATATCTAATAAAAGTGGTGAATGAATCTACTGAAGTAGTTGGTCTTTACATACCTAATAGTCCAGTCAAATGAAATTAAAAAAAAACAATGAAATAATGGATTCCATATAGTTAGTAATCTAGGGTGAGGAGAGGATGGGAACCTTCCTCAACATAGCCTAACTTGTTGCTCAAATTGAAAATAACGTAAACGGTAATTGTATAGGAAGTAAGTGTCTGAGTATATGGTCATGGGACTTTAAAACACTTGTTAAGTGTTTAGCTAAGACTGACGGGTGGACACGTGAGAGATGCTGTTGAAGAATTGAATAATAANAAAACTTTTATTGAAACTTTTTTTCCATATCTTTCATATTTCGCGAGATAATCGAATTTGCAATTGTTTTTGAGGATTTTCTCCTCCCCCCTTATGCAGGGCAAATAATTTTCATTTAGATACATATTCGTGTTCCTTACGAAATTTCCGATAAAATGACCCCTGCTTCAATCATTTTCCCCATTATAAGGTACTCTTCAGTCATTTCCGTCATTTGACTGGACTATAAGTTCTGATTGTGATGTTGTTCTGTGAAACGGTCGACGAAACGTTGTCATTGAAAAATTTTCTTGTGTCTTGCAATTTCTTATTTATTGAAATTTAAAAGAACTTTTGAGTACCTATATATTTGTTGAATAGAAAAAATTAAATTGGTGATAACAATTAAGTGATTCGACACATTCAACTTATTAATTAAATAACGCCAAGTTTCATTTGACTTATTATATGATGACGCAAATGCTTTAGAAGGTAGCGGAGGTGGTAATCGCACTAGTCGAATCGAGCAGAGCGAATGAATGGAGGGTTAGAAACAAAATAAAAGATGAGCGAAGCAGCGACCGAAGTTTGTAAAGCTATTAAAAATACGAGGCGGTGGCGTGATAGCGGAGGCACGGCCACGACTCGGCGGTGGCGATGGATATGAATGGGGATATGAATGAGTCGTAGTAAAGTCGTAGTAAAACTACAAAACAAATAAAAAGCCCTCTCGACTCTCGACAACATTCAACGTTTGTTGAACCTGTACGACAGCACTCTCTTGCATTACTTTACCGCTACTTACATGGCTTGTAACCTTGCAAGATTAAGTATGTATTAGCTTTGCGAATGCACATGCCCAAATTAACTTCTATTGGGATATCTCAGGAAGCATTGAATAAATCAGTCGTGCCTAATGAAATAAGAAGGTTAGTTGCTCTGATGCTTGTTTTAAAATTCTATGAACTTTCAAAAAAGCAAATCTTTACAGTTCTTCTACAAACAAGAACTTTATCCCTAATGTAATGTGAGAGGTATTTATTGAATTCCTAAAAAAATTGTATTTTAGTTATAGTTATAGAAAATACTAATGGGGTTCTGTATATAGATACTATCTGAACGACAGATCTGATGGTCGATCGGGGTTGACTATCTTACTAGGCCCTCTGATATTCTTCACAAGTCAATGTAAATACCATAAGGTTGTCAGCCCTAAGACTGGTTGGACACGTACCTCCACTCTTTCCTATCCTGAACTAATCTTCGCATTTCCTTAAAACTAGAACAACCCACATCTTTAACAGTAATCTAATCTAGGTCTTCCTCTACTACTCCTACCCCCCCTTCCTACCTCTCTGGTCTTTGACTAGACCTTCATGCCTAAGAAGGTGTCCTACCAATCTATCTCGCCTACTTCTTATAGATTTCCAATATGACCTTCGTACTCCTATTCTTTCTAATACTTCCCCATTTCTAACATTTTTTATCCACGGTATTCTTATCATTTATCTGTAACACCACATTTTAAACGTTTCTAACCTTTTATTTTCTGCCGCGTCTACCGTCCATGTTTCGCACTCGTACAGCACCCCGCTCCAAACATACACCTTCAACAACCTTTTTCGCATTTCTAAATTAATCGTTCGCGAGCATAGAAGTAACTTGTTTTTATTGAAGGCGACACGACCCTGTGCTATCCTCTGCTTACTCCTTCCGTCTTGACTTATCTGACTTCCTAAATACTTAAAATCAGTCACTTTTTCTAATTTTCTTTTTCTTCTATCGTTATATAATTAAATAAAATACCTTTATCTCTCATCTGGTTTGATATTTACTTTAGCCGATAGACAAGAGGTATTGTTCAGGTTCTCCATCGTTATAGCTTCTGAATCTTTATCTTAACTTTTCAATTCTCTCACAGGACCGGCTTTGAATTGTAACTTAATTTATTTTTACATCTTTTTTATATATTAATTACCCGTTGTACTCACCATGCGAAACACTTTGTAAATCCAATAGAAGTCATTTTAAAAAAATGCTATGTCGAAATATTGTGAGCAAAATTCCGGTATGCATAAGCTAGACGTTTGTCAGACTTTTTTAGAGAATATCTTGATCAAAATGTATAAATAATATTTGTGAAATAGCATAAGAACGCCTTCTTAAGCATGAAAGGCTAGTTAGAGACATATTAGAAGCAAAAACAGGAGGTAAAAGGAGGAGAGGTAGACCTAGATTAGATTACTGTTCGCAAATAGTTAAGGAAGTGGGATGTTCTAGTTTTAGGGTTATGCGAAGATTACTTCACGATAGAAAAAGTTGAGATGCGTGTCCAACCACTTTTAAAATTGACGACCTTATGTTGATGATGATGAGTGAAAGATACTTCGTTCCTGCCGGGTGTCTCACGATACCACACAACTTTTTTACTAATTTTTTGTTTCTCAATAATATTTTGCACCTTTTGAAGGCTAAAATTTGAAATTTAATGTTTGAATTTGAAACTTAATCAGTTTACAATGCCTTTACTTTTGAACTTGGCTTCAAATTAGCCCCTAATTTCCGTATTTTTGAAGTTGCATTTTTAATTCGTTAATATATGGGTTAAGACGTTCATTAATATA